TTGAAATGTTTCCTCCATCTACCTGCTCATAGGTAGTAACCCACTCCCTACTTGGACATATATGATACAATGCCCCAGAATCAAGAACCCACACATCATTGTGATATGTATGTTCACCGGCAACTAAAGCAATGTCATACTCAGAATTCGAATCCTCTTCTGCTAAAGCAGCAGATACAGATTTATCCTGCTGTTTATTCTTGGGACGTTCTCTCTTCCAATGCCCCTTCTCTTTACAGTAATCACAGACATCAGTTTGCTTAGGACCTCCTTTTGAATTTTCGGGCCTCTTTGTATACCCCGTATTTTTATGTATTTTTATAAAGTATTTAAGTATTAATAAAATGTATTGTCAAGGGCTCAAGTATTTTAATTAAATATTCTAAAGGGTTAAAGTATTTTAAATAAAAAGTTTTATAAAAGTAAAATATGTTTTGGGCCAAACATTTATTAATTATTGGGCAATGTAAATTATTCCTACATACTCTTATTGGAATAACCCATTTCAAAACCTATAACTTAAGCCCTATCCCATAACTCAAGCCCACATTTTTATAAGCCCAAATTTAACCCTACACTCTCTACTCTATAAATACCCCATGAATCCCCAAAAATTTCCGACACAAAAAGGTTAATCTTATTTTCTCTCTCCTTTGTTTTATTAATTTGTGTAATTATAATTATTGATTTATGGGTTTTGATTTTATTGTTTGAAATTAATTTAATTAGTATCAAATTGTATTTTGATGATTGAACTTTATAATTTTCAGATTTTGTAAATTTTATAACCTAGGGTTTTTAACTATTGAAAATCATGGTTTTAGGGTTTTTATGAATAATTGATTTAGGGCTTTTATAGTAATGGTGTTTTGAAATTTTGGTGATTATAACTACTTATTAGTTTAACTTAATTCCAGATTTATTTTGAACACGCAAATCCATGTTTTAATATAATTAGATTTCCGTTTGTTAATATTAATCTCGTTTTAATCCCGATCAGGTTCTAAACTCCTCCGATTTTGATAAAACAAAGTAGTGTTTTTCGAGTCGAAACAACGTTTTAAGAAAGACTCACTACTTTTAGTAGTGAGCACCACCCTCTTGTGGCCAAATTCAGCCTCTAAATACGATTTTCGAGCAGTTTTTTATTTTTAACGAAGTTTTTTTTTATGCTTTAAATTTTATCTTTGAGTTTAAAAGGGGTAAGAAATAATTTAATGTTTCTATGGATAATTTAAGTATAAAGACGTATTTTGATGAAGTTTTAAAGGATTTTTGATTAGTTTAAAATGTTGGAATTTTATTTAAAGTAGTATAATTGTGATTTTAATAAAAGGGTGTGATTATCCATTAAAAAGGAGTTTAATTAGGGGTTTCTAAATAATTTTCAGATTATTATAAGTTATTTAAAGTGAGTTTAAGTTGCTGGGAATTGTGTATACAAGGGTAATTAATATAGTATTATTGTCCCTTTATGTAGGAGACTTGGTTCGAGAATTGTTGTAGTGTAATCGGCTACTTTAAGGGCTTATTTGAGGTACGTTCACGTACTTAGCATATTTTGATAATGTAGAATCATGCTAGGCTTGATTTCAATCAATTACAAGTAGTATCATGCTAAGGTTTATGTATGGAATTGTGAATTAATGGTGTTGGTGATTGAATTGTGAAGCATGAATTATTTGTGATGGTTTATGGATTGGAAAATTATATATTGGGCATGTTGTGTTTGAACCACACTTTTATTTATGGCATGTTAGAAGGCATGATTAATTAAACTATATGTTTAATTATGTTTGGAATATTGAAAATGAATTTTATTATGGTCAAATAATTTTTATTGATGCTTTAAGCATGAGGAAGGAGCTATATAAGTGTCTATGTACACAATGAATAAATTGTATGTTGGTGCCTTTGTGCACTTAAGGTGTTTTTAACACCGAGGGATAGGATTTTTGGCGCATTATGCGTTTAAGGTGTCTTTGACACTGACGTAGAATTAAAAAGGGTTCAACATTAAATAATATGTGGTCACTAATAATTCAAGAATTAAATTGGTATGTTTGGTTGATTGAATAATTATGGTTGATTGATTTATTATGCTTTGAGAGTCATCACCAAGTCCAATAACATGTAAATAACGTAAAGTGAAAGATATTACACACCAAAACTCTTGGAACGTATATACCTTGAGTATAAACAATGGGGGGAGTTATGAGGTTTTATATTTAACCATAACTTCTAATGGAGTACAGGACGCTGTATATTCCTTTTTTTATTTATTATTATGCGCAGGAATTCCGCCACCTTTGAGTGGTTTTGTCGCTGGCACGGTTAGCTCCCGTGTCAGTTAACCTCAAATTTATTTGGGGGAGGTTAGGAGGTGGAAACCCGTTCGATGCGTAATTAATGCAAAATGAATTAATTAGTGTCTAGTCATTGTGTCTTGTTGATTGGTGTGTGTGCTTGTGAACAGCTGCATTGAGGTAAGGGTGTGTTGATAGGTGAAAGCATGTTAGTGTGTTTATTTACGCTTATGTACTCAGCTTTGCTGATTGTGTGTGTTTGTGTGTTTGGCCATGTCTTTACTTTGGCCCTACGACGACCCATTTTCTAATGGCGAGTAGTGGGGACAAGTAGAGAGGAGGTTTTCAGGTGATGAAGCATATTCATGATGGGCATGAGTGAAGAGGGAATCATGCGTAGTTTTCATAGGACTATGATGTGATTTATTGCTTTATTGATTATATTATTATTATGCTTGGGAGGCTAATGCAGAGGTTTTCACGTTTCATTTGGTTTTGTGAAGGGCTTACAATGGTTCCAAGTTGTGGGTTGTTTTTGTTTGACTTTACTTTCGTTTGGTTTGGTTTGTTTTGGATGGCTTTAAGGGTAGTCTTCCGCTGTGTATCTTTGATAATTGCCTTAGCCGTTTTCACGGTGGCGGTAATATCTTAGATATTCCTATTTAGATTTTTAAACAGGGCAAAACAGGTATTTTAAAAGAAAGGAATTTCTAGGGTGTTACACTCTTAGCCTTCTTCTTCCCGGAATTTCCATGTCCCTTTCCGCCACTGGCCATTAATCTAGAGGCTTGATTGTCTGTACCTGTACTACCTGATGCCTTACCGCGCAAATCCCTAGTATGAAGAGATGATCTTACCTCTTTTAGGGACACAATATCTTTACCAACAATAAAATATTGCACAAAATTTTCATACGCCAAAGGTAAAGAAACTAATAGAATTAAAGAAGCATCCTCATCATTAACCTTAACATCAATATTACGCAAATCTAGCAAAATCGTATTTAATTGATCTAGGTGATCTCTAAGAGGTGTACCTTCAATCATTCGCAGACTGAACAGGCGTTGCTTCAATAGAAACTTGTTGGTTAGAGACTTGTCATGTTCAAACTCTCCAATTTCAACCACAGACCCGATGCGGTTTCCTCCTCCGCAACCTCAGTAATGATATCGTCTGCAAGACACAACATGATCGTTGAATGTGCCTTCTCCTCTAGAATGGCTATCTCAGTGGTATCCGGACCCGGTGACTTTTTTGTCGATGGTGTCTCGGCGCCATCTGAACCCTATGACTTCTTTTCCAATGGTGCCCATAACCCTTTTTGTTTCAACAACGCCCGCATCTTGATCTGCCATAAACTAAAACTATTTCTCCTCGTGAATTTAAATTATCAATTTTCACATTCATACCAAACATCTCTCCCACTCAAATCGAACCTGAGCTCTTGATACTACTTGTTGTAACGGATGTGAGAAAGAACAAATTAATGAATGCAAAACAAGTAAATAGCACACACAGATTTACGTGGTTCACCAGCAATGTGTTGACTACGTCCACACGCAGGCGAGAGAAAAGCTTTATTGATCTTGAGGAAATTCCAGATTACAGATTGATAATGTCAATTATCAATAATAGACTAAACTATGACTAAACCCTAACTAGGATTATATATAGCTTCCCCAAATAAGATACATAAGTGCATAAAAAAGACCCACAAAACCGTAAGAAGTCGTGTGGGCTCCACCGTGCACAAACGGAGAGCTCTTGCTCACCATCGAGCGAGCTATTGCTCGGACCTTAGTCAAGCTAGTTCTCATGGTCGAGCATCGCTCGGCCCCTATCTCACCTTCGACCTTCATGAGCTACCACACGAGCTACCAAGAGAGCTATCACTCAGCCTAGTTGAACCAATCTATCTCCGTGAGCCATAGCTATAGCTCACTTGCATATGAGCTATAGCTGCAATTTCGTCGCAACTCCATATGCTTCCGAAACTACCGAGCTACCTCTCGAGCTATAGCTCGCTGCTCCTAAACCCAAATTCAAGGCATATTTAACAAGCACAATAAGACACGGCATAACACAACACAATAAAGCACTGCGCGCTAAAAACAATGAAATTTTGCTTAAGCACATAAGCCCGATATGATCCGACATGATAGCACATGGACCTGACCTTTTGAAAATTTTGGCCTGGCCCAACACAATACGTAACTCGTAGGCTGGGCCAAGGGACGAGCCTAACTAACCCCAAAGCACGTGAGTCCAACACGAGGCACGACCCAGAGCCACCTTACGCATGACTAATCCAATAATGAAAATCGAGTGAGAAATGAGAAGGGGGGGGGGGGGGGGGGGGAAGAAGAGGGAAGGTAAAAAGTGGGGCCCACATGACGTCATAAAGAAGTTGGGAGGCAACTAGGTGAGAATTTTTGATATTCTATAAAATAATAGGTGGTAATTTGCAAAAAAAATAAAAAAAATAATAGCAGGTGGTAATTGCTAAAATGGAAAGAATAGTAGTGGTAATTGTCAAAATTTCTCAGTTATTAAGGTAAGAAATGTTACATCAATGGTGTGTAGGTGCGCCAATTTCGATGGCTTAGAATTTTGGTTAAAGATGAAAACATAACATCAACAATATCAATTGATCTACATTATATAATATACAAGGTACGATTAAATACGTAATAGTAATACAACAATTGCAACATTGTTACGAAAAGCCCCAAACTTTTAAGGCGTTATCACTTATAAATATTCCATACAAAGTGCTTACACATTTAAATTTTACACATTTGAAGAAAAAAAAAGAGATATAATAAATTATGATGACATTATTATGTGATAAATAATATTATATGCTAAGGCTACAAAATATTCATTTGCAATATTGAAATAAAATAATAACAATTCAAAACGAGTTAGTAGATCTTGATCCGAGTTAAGTTGGAAAGTGCATCTTGCAAATTTGTTCAAATTTGAAAGAGAACAAGATGAAGATCTTGAAAACATATTAGAACAAGTATTTAACAATTGAGGGAAGATGAACATTGATGAAATAGTCTTTCCAGTTGATGCCAATTGGATCGAAGTTGAAGACATCTTCATTCAATCCATTTTCGCGGGCAGTGATGAACAATTTTTCAGTATTTGCATCGGCAAAACTGTTAATTAAAGCAAAAATTAGTCATAAATTAGATGCATAATGACTATTAAAATTAAAGCAACAGCTTTACTTACATGCCCTTGAAGAACAAGTAGGGTTTATACAAGTCCACCAATTTCATTGCGATTTTCAGCTTTTTGTCAAAGTTAAACAAGGTACGTTGCAAGTCACTACGACCCATCCTAGTAGCAATAATTAATATCTGTAAAAAAAAAAAAAAAAAGTTACATAAAATTTAGCTAGTGTTAAAATAGAAAAAAAAAATTGCTCTATTATATCGACCTATTTACTTTAATTTAATTCGTTGCTAATATGAAATATATAGTAGTAGGAGATAAAAAATCTACCATTTGTACGACGAATTGCCACATGAAGAGGATCATTTCAAATATGAGTATGTTGCTCAACACTACACCTTTGCCAATTTTTACCAAACTGCCTTCACGGTTGGTCCATGGATTTTTAGTGAAGTAATGGTAGTGAAATTCATGCAGCTCCTTAAATGATACTGGATTTCTGTAAGAACTTCCCACTTGGTATACTGTCAAAGAAGGTTGATTTACATGGGCCTTCATTGCCACAATCATCGAGTTCACAAACATATCAGCCGGTATCTGTGCAACAAGAACATAAATTACACGATAAAATTAGCTTATACTCATTCTCATTCATCTAATACATCTTCATGTACATTTAAGTTTTGTTTTTAAAAATTTTTATAGCATTCATACAATTTAGTAACGAGTGTAGAGATTAAAGAAGACGGACCAAGTCTAAGACAGAGCTTTTGTCCGCGAGAAACAAACTTAAGCTTCCTTTTCCATATGTTACAGCAACACTATCAATAGTCCTGCCATCATATAATTAAGTTGAAACGAAAACTATTAAGATTGATGTCCAAAAATAAAAGCTCTTAGCTTAATCTAGATTTTTAGATAGACCAATAACATTATAACAATGTTTGAAAATGGTATTGATTAGAAAATAATATATACCTGCAACCTTCAACCCAACCGGGAAAGGGTTCTTGCAAAGTGCTACACACAATTGTAGGCCTCATTATAATCACAGGTAAATCGCCTCTTAATTGCCCTACAAGCATCTCTCCCATCGCCTTTGTAAAAACATACGTATTTGGCCATCCATAAAATTTTGCCCTATTTAATCAATTGTCTTAAATAAATAGTTAGAAAATCGGAAATTTTCTTTAATATCACTTATACTTGTATATTACAACTTACATTACACATGATAGTATTAGATTGAAATTTAATTTGGTTTTACACGAAAAAGTAATTTGTCATACCTTTGAACTCCTAGGTTTTTCATCTTTTGTCTTATAATCTTTTCAGGAAGATCACTAGATTTAAGATTGCTTAAAGTTTGTTCAGCAAGTTTTTTCTCAGATTCGATGTCCAAGCCAGTTACACCATTCAAAGTCTCACCCATCACATATGGGCTTTCAGATATTATTCCCGCCTTTTCTCCACACACGTACGCTAAGAAAATACAAAAATTAAACATTGTCAAGAGATATCGACATATTAAGTACTCTCTCCGTCCCTGAAAGAAACAGGCGTGATTTGAGCTTACCAGTTGAAACATGGATGAGCAATTGTATTTTAGCACAACTCTTTGCAAAGTTGACGACATGTTTTGGTCCTAGAGTATTCACTCCCAATGCAACATCATACCTACACCCATTTAATGCAATAAATGCATTAGTATTACCGTACCTTCATTCAAAATTATATGCCCTTTTTAGGAACATAAATTCATGGACATAATTTAGTCTTTTTCATATGCATATTTTTGTTCATGACCATAACTATAGCTATCGGATTCTTATGGTTCAATTATTAGGGATAGTCCCCTAGACATGAGATCGGTACATTAATTATCTTTTGTGACTCTCTAAACCAAAGCTATTTCCATTCTACTGGGCCGGTGGTACCAACTCTGCTGACATCTCAATTAAATCACACACTGTATAACGTATATATTGTTGACTTATTTTATTATCGAGGAGTAATTATTTATTTAACCATAGATTAGGTTTTAAGGCCAAGGACACACTCATTAAAATAGCTTTACACATTAAGCATCTTCCAAAGCACATTATTTGGCTAATAAATCTGTACTTCGAGTAGTTTATAGTACAAAATAACTAGTATTAGTAAATGATAATAAGATTAATAACATACCTTTCTTCAAACTTTGTGGTTGCTGCTACGTTAATAACAATATCTATATCTTCATACATGTCCTTCATTTGCTCAGCAGTAAGTCCCAAATTCTCGTAAGAAGTATCACCGGCTACTACAGTTATCTTCTCCGAAACGAAAGACTCAAAATTTGATCCCAATTTCTCTTTTAGAACTTTGAACAACTCCTTGCCTAAGATCTATGTCCATGACAACAACAATAAATTATTTTGTACTATGATAACGCGAATATTACAAAAAAAAAAAAAAAAAAGTAACCCTTCTTTCCAAGAATATGAGCTACGTTACACACTTACAACTTCCAATTTAGTAAAACTGTACGTAAATTAGTTCACTAGTTTTAAAAATAATATATACCTCATCTTGCAGCCGAGCATCGGCTGCTTGAGCATCTCTAGCCCTTACAAGAAGGTATAATTTTTTCACATCCGGTTGAATACGAAGTATCTTCTCCACGAGAACTGCATTAATCATCGTTACAAACGTGTTAATATAAAATCATCGAGTGTGTGAAAATGTGTAATTTCTTATAGATCGATAAAAGAAAGAAATTGTACGTACTCTTAGCAATGAAGCCAGTAGCACCGGTAACTAAGATAGTTTTGTTGCCTAGAAACTCAATTATGTTACCAAAATCCATGGTAATATTTCGAAATTAATTAAGCTAAAATTGTTTAAATTTTTAAGTAGCTTGGATTTTTTTAGATGAATAAAATGAAAGAAACTGAAATATATGAACGTTTATATAGGAATAATAACTCAAGTCAATATCAAGGCAGTATACAACGATGACCAAATTAAGCAACTTGTGGTCCTACGTCACTATATTATTATTAGCAAGTCACCAAAACTGAATTAACTGACTTTGCTTTTACTATATTTTATGTTATTAGTAACAATTTTTTTATTATTACTTGCAATTATCAAACCACACGTAATCGAATAATTGTTTAGTTTACTTAAAAGGTTGATTTACAGAATTCATCTATAATTTCATTAAAAATGGCAGCAAAATGTGTGCCAACTATATTGTTGGCCAAAATTATGGGTAACCGTGGTAGTTCTTGACATTTCAAAAAAATATATTTTATGTGAGAAAATAGTTTTTTAATTAATAAAATAAAAGAAATAGTAATAGTAATATGTCAAATAGTTAGCTGTTTATGGTCACCTAGAAGGTGGATTGGTGCTTTGGTAGATCAAATTCTTCATAGTATTGAGCTGAGATTGCTGACTAGTGTTGGGATAATGCCAAATTGCATAATCACAAGTTGTTTGTTTGCCCTCTTATATATGTCCAATTTATCTAAGTTTAAATAATCGAAATGTTGATATATATGTTTGAACTTGGTGCAACATATGTACACACGTTTGGGTCTTTTCACATTAAGAAAAATGACCTTGTCGAAATTGTTTCATTTTAGTTTAAATTAGCCAACCAATCAGTTGCGTAGTTCATTTTTTGGGTGCTATGGTTTTCTTGCATTACTTGTCGAGTCTCCCTTGTATACATAAGCTAATCTAATTGAACTATTATCTTCTTTTAATTTGTATCCAATGCCAAGTCCAAATCCTCAGCCAGTAACATAAATTCCGTCTTTATGGAAGAAAAAACATGATTATATATATCAAGATGAATTTAAATACAATCAGATTATAAGATGTACAACAATAGCGAAAATTCTACTTTACTTTCAGGGGGTTTGAGAATATGGGGTAAGTTTAATTTCCAGATAAATATATTGCTCTTATTAAAAAGATGATCACATGTAGACAAATTTTGAACTTTAAAATTGTCATTATCTTGAAAAAGTTAGGGCCTGTTCACATTTACTTAATTTCAGTTCAGTTCAACTCCAATCAATTCAGCTCCAATCAGTTCAGTTCAGTTCAGCTTTTAATTTCCTTCTCTCATAAAATATTCATTTCAACTCAATTCAGTTCAGTTCAGCTCCAATCAGTTCAGCTCCAATCAGTTCAGTTTAGTTCAGTTCGGTTCAGTTCAACTTCAATCAGTTCAGTTCAGTTCAATTCAGCTCAGTTCATTAAATGCGAACAAACCCTTATATATAACACCAAATATTATTGAAATTTTCAAATGCACAAATACAACAAAAAAAATGAGTAATGGATTTTTAATATAAATTTTTATTCAATATTATCTATTAACTAATACTAAAACAGAACATCCTTACATCATTTTTGACACATGTCAACCTATCATTAAAACATTTCTCGCCAAAACAATATATAAAACAGAACATGCTTACATCATTTTTGACACATGTCACACTATCATTAAAACATTTTCCCCCAAAAAAAATATATGGTGTCATCGTTAATTTTTTTTTTGTTATTTTACTTAGCGTATTTTTTAAAAGTACATTGTATTGTTATTTTGGAAAAAACATGAATCATTAATGCAATATAATGTATATTACTTTTAAATATTTTCAACACAACTAATCAACAATAATTTTTTTCTCAATTAAATTTTAATAATTTGGCGTTATTATTTTAATTTTCTTATACACATTGCATTTGTATATTTCATATGAATTACCTCATTTTTTATGTATCACAAATTAGTTATGGAAAAAAATTGTTACTACCGTGCGATGCACGGGCATTAATCTAGTATCACTAATATATAAAGCTGGTCTCGCAGTCAGGTTACGAGACACCAACACTTGGTATTCCAATTTTACGACTAGTGTCGCACCAAGGAAAAGATAATCAGGGATTATTGTGACACCTATGATGCTAAGTAAGTGATTTTTTGATAGATTTTTTAAGATGAAATTTTTGTATAAGTTTTATTATCGATAGAATTATAATATTTCGTATATACAAAATTAATCATAACTTTTAATAATCTTCCTGTAATTCAATTCCATTTTCATCATCAAATATGTTTTAAAAATTTCTTTAAAATAAGATCCATTTATAATATATTATAATAAAAAATAGAAATCCTTAAAAATAATTTTAATCAGAAAAAATAATTTATTTTGGTAAAAATACTTTCAATTCATTAAAAATAATTTAAGAGCAATAAAAAATATCAAGTTAATAATAACTTATATATCTATTTACAAATAAATCTACAAAAAGTACACTATAATATAAATAAACGAGATGATATTGCATGACTAAATACTTTACATTATATATGACTAGATGAAGCCCGTTCGATGCACGGTTTGTTTGAATTTTTTAAAATATATTTTTTTTTGTATTTATGTGCTAAAATTTGTTGCATATTTAGATAAAATTCCTAATATCAAAAAATAATATTTTATATTTAATTAATTTAAACTTAAAAATATCATTTTCCAATTTGGTTGCGTGGCAATTGAATTAATTAATTCTAAAAGAAATTAATAATCTCTTATTTGATTGGCTACAACTAAATTTTATAATCTTACATGGCGCGTTAAGAAAATTAAATCCTACGTGGCTCTCTAAAACCTCAGGAAAAAACTCCCCTTTATACATATACTAGTTTTGTGCCCCGTGCGATGCCCGGGTTGTTTATGAAATCTGTTTAAATCTAACCAACGTGGCGCGACACTCAAATATATTTTATCGAAAATAAAACTTTAACTAAACAATTTTATCCTAAGATTCTATTCAAAATAGAATTCTAAACTAACTTTTTTATCTTATGAAGTCAATTTGAACCTATCCAACGTGGCGCGACACTTGGCAAAAAGTTAGAATGCCAAGTGTCGCTGCCTCGTGACCTGGCTAAAAGTTTAGCTATATATATATATATATATATATATATATATATATATATATATATATATATATTGTTTGGGTCCAATTTATCTAATTGGGCCTAGTCATGTATTTGGGTCCAATTATCTTATTGGGCATGGTCACTAAATGACTTCATATTCCAAGGTCAAGGCCCGAGCCTCCAATCAAGCCAAGTCAACCAAGAGATCTTTGGTCCGAATTGCCATGGTCAGCCCATGATAATTTAAAGGCCCAATTACTCTCCTCTCTTCATGTGTAAAGGTATAAAAGCCTTCAATTCATTCATTCATACAACACAACAAAGCCTCAAGCATTAAATCTCTTGCATAGCTTTTTCTCTCTAAATACTGTTTGACTTCGGCATCGGAGGGGTCTTCCTCGGATCCACCCCCGAGGCTAGTTTACGTGTTTTAGTTGTGCAGGAAACCTTCGGCCCAGCCTCAACTGGACCGGACCAGTCTTCAGCCACTTCAGCGGGCCTTCGGCAAGGCCCCATTGTTTTCATCTGAAACATATATATATATATATATATATATATATATATATATATATATATATATATATATATATATATATATATATATATATATATATATATATATATATATATATATATATATATATATATATATATATATATATATATATAAAAGATTGTATTTAACATTCAAGTTAAAAAGTTTAATATAATCCGGACATCACCCGGTCACAAAATTAGTTTTGCCTTTATACGCATGCAACTAACTTTATACGAGTATTATTAAATATTATTCATAACGTATATCATAACTTTGAGCAAAAATGCGATAGATCCTAGATTTATACGAAAGAGTGTTGCACTTTCTAATACATTTATGTAGACATACCATTCATAAGTGGTCTCGCAGGTATGGTGGTTTACTAGTTTTTGTCTTTTTTTTTTATTAATTTATACAGCAACTTGACCTGAAAGATGTCCTTCATTCACATAAACAGTTGACCTGTCTAGGCATACTATATAAGAAATTATTATACGATAATTCTTAATTATTTTTCGTTGAATACAATATTTGAATAAATTCATTTAATAGATTGACTAAAATTATACGTGTATCGTGTAGTTGATAAGCTGGGAGTAATAATTTCGGGAGTAATAATTCTTCAATTCATGGATTGTCGGTCATGTAGTTCCACACTACTTCCACACTTCCACTTGATACACACTTCTTCTCTACAAATTTGGTGTTCTCAATTAGAGTACGTAATCGGTTCTCGAATAAAAAGTCTCATTTATTTTTATTTTCTACATACTTTTTCAGGGCCGGCTCATAGAGGGAGCACCTTGAGCAACAGCTCAGGCCCCCCTTTTGGGTAGGCACATTTTTTTTATTAAATTTTTTTTTTTTTTTTGAAAAAAAAAAACCTAACAATATGAAATGGGTATGGGCAACCTAAATAAAGAGGAGGAGAGTTTGGTCCACAAACAAGGCTTTGGAGCTTCCATACTAAAACCAATTGGCAATAGTAGGAGGTATTCCTCTACCTTATAAAGTGAAACCATCTCTCCTCTTTCTCCAATGTGGGACACTCACAAGTGGGCTACAATGAGTTTCAACAAAGGGCTTGTTTACATTTACTAAATTAAACTTAATTGAACTGAACTAAACTAAATTAATTAGAGCTGAACTGAACTGAACTGAGCTGAAATTAATATTTTATGAGAATTAGGTGCTGAACTGAACTGAAATCAAAAAGACCCCAAAGTGATTATCTCTTCTTAAAATTGTTTAGTGTATTACTTTTTCATTAATCATCTCACTTCTTTACATTCTAATATCTTACTATGTATCTCCCAAATCTATCTATTAACCTATACTAAAAACAAATCCTTCCATGACACTTGTCATGACCTTGTGAAAAAATTTCCCGCCTTTCAACTTTTTTTTTTCTCTCTCTTTTTTTGCAAAATTTATAAGTAAAC